TTACCTTAAGAAACACTATTAACAAAGCACAAGTTCTTCTCTCGCTTAATGTCTTTCATAATGCAACTTAGTCATAAAAATATTGTCCTAGAGTTTTAAAAGTAAAGCTTTGCAAGTTTTATTGATATAATATTTGTATATTTATATATATTGCTAGACATTGCACGTAATTTAATTAATTTTTATATTTTATTAGTGTCCTACAATTGCGGAATTGATCATTTTAAGGACCAAGATAATTATGCTGTTCGAAAAAAAGCTGTCTTTTAAATCTTGCAATTAAAAATAACTGACAATGTTATACTTATAAATTTGACATTATTTATCGTAGGTGAATATTTATACTAAAATATTTAGCACTATGTTTTTGTATTTTATATTATATTCATAAAATAAAAGCTTTCATGGTACCATCACTTAACGTCAGGAAAGGCAGTGCACGTGAAGCTTTCATATTAGCTTTTTTAATAAAGTCTTCGTATAACGAAAGTTGGTCGTAAGAAGTTTGAAACTGAATTCCTGTTGTTCATTAGTTTTCGTCGTTAAATATGTACATACCTATACCTGTAAAATATATAATTTAATTATACAAAATGACGGATAACTTAGCATAATAATATAAACGTATAGCCAATAATTATCTAGTCGGTGGTTCGATCATGGCATTTCTAGGTTTTAATTGGGTGGTATGAATATCGAAATTCGGTCCGACACACTACGTCCACAGATAAAAAAGCCGTGAAACTTAATCGTGTTTCGGTCCGTTCCGAGTATCCAAAGCCAAAATAGGTCGACAACGTAACTGGATAGTGTGACCTAAATTTGTCTGTCCTTCTCTATTATATAACAAAAAAAAAAAATAAGAAAAGCTAACTTGATTCTCTTAGTAATCAAACGCTACAAATTTGATAATGACATCTATTCATTCGTAATGGCGAAACATCGAGAACCATTTTTAGTACTTAATAGGAGCCAAAAAAAATTAAAACGCGTTTTTAAAGAAACAAACTCTTCAGCTCTATATATTAGTATAGATTATTTTTTATTTCAAATTATCGCATTGAATCAGTCAGATAAAAGACATTATGGAATAAAATCGAGAGATACAATAGCAGGCAATGTAAAATTGTGTGGTCAAGAAATGAAGTGAATGCAATCTCAAGACATTGTTCGTCCATTGTGTCTTTGTTGTTCGCTGATTAATACTGACTTGGTTTTTCTTTCTTGTGTAAATGAAGGTCCCTTTGTTGTGTTCACAGAAAAGATCGCTTGTCTGCAATAGGACCGCCTGTTGCACTTACGTACTTTTGCATTTACTATTTGGGACACTGACGAAGAACTCTTATCTTTTGTTTCGAGATTTGAGCCCTGGTAGTCAATGGAAACGTTAGATTATTATATTAACAATATTAAAGTGCACATGTTGATTTTGTCTCTGATTTTTGCTGTTTTTTTGTATATATGAGGAGGTTTCAATATATAATATATAAGGCAAGATCTTTAAAAGTCAAGGTCTTTAAATATTTGAAACCGAAATGCAATTAAACTTGACGGCTTCTATATTTGTGGACGTTCCTCGTGACCCGGACAGAATTTAATATCCATATGTCCAGACGAATTTGAACATGTTTCAGAATATAAATAGATTGACACATGATTGACTCGGTGGGGACCTAACCTACGACCCGTTGACTATTAGCCATATATCATTACACTAACGGTCAAAAAACTATAAAAATACAAATATAAGAAATGATTTCTGTTCATATTATAATCTGTTTAACCCGTGAAATATATTACTGCCCGTATATATTTCACGTTTTAATATACGAGTAGACGTGGCCACGGGGTAACTGTAGATCGAGGGTGTCCCTAATATCAAAATTAAGACGGCAATACTACTGCCATCTGTTTTGTCGTAGTTGGTACTTGGAGGAACTGGACATAGTTAAGGTAGTTAAGGTAAATAAAACGTTAACGGTTTAATATTTAGTTAAACTTATTTAAAAATGATTTTTAACAGGTCCGCCGTTTGCCGCAGCCGGGGCATTTTCCGGCATTTTCAAAGTTTAAACACGCTTAAACAACTTCTCAGGTATATAATTATTAGATGGATAATATTAAATGCCTTTTTCATCTGTTTTCGTTACTATATCTGTACCATTTAAATTCTACAGCTTCATTAAAAACAATATTAAGTACAAAAGAAAAGCGTAACAATTGTAGAGTTCCCTTATTTTGGTTGCTGATTGGTAATCCAGGGCACATTCTCTGAACTTTACTTAAAAAGTATAGGCTGCAGCATAAACAAATACACGAATTCGCAATTTGTCATTCATCATTCCCTTTGCGTGCTGAAATTCGAACTGCGAAATGAAAATACCTTTGTACAGAGACTCTTGAAAAATATCTGCTTATGTAAAACATATAAAAGAGATGTCATGTTTTGTAAAAGCTTTCGGAAGTTGCCTTTGTTTGCGTCGCAGCATGAAAGTGTAGAACTATATGACGATAAAGGCATGAAAGTAAATTCTTCACTCGCTTTACTGTAACTGCTACCTTAAAGCTATGCTCGAAAGGTTTATTAAAAAGTTGAGTAAAGAAATTTTGCTAATCTGAAGAGAATATACATTATGTAGCTTGTATTAGAGGTGATAAGGAAAATGCTTTTGCTACTTAGGGAAGATTATAAAAGCTATTTTCATACTAACAATGCTTTGTTATTTACGTGAGTAGTACACTTTTAATAAAACACTATAGAGACTACAAAACTTCTAGAGCTGAGGCCCCGTGACCACAGTGAAACGTCGAGCCGTAGTCATAAATTGTTAACACCTTATTCAAAGCTTAGTCTTATTTAATTCCATAATATTGCAGTAAACTTAAAAATGTAGTTTAGTATATCATTTATGAACTTAAGAAATTTTTTACCCAAAATTAGAAAGTATAGCAACAGAAGAGTTTTATAAACACATACGGTAGATAATCAATTTTTATTTTAAAATAGCTTATTTAAAACAGATTCAAATATGACCCATAGATAATGTTATAGCGAAATACAGGTAATAAATGGAAAAAAAGAAAATAGTAGCTACAAAAGAGCAACTGGCTTGAAATAATATAAGTAGTTCTTATACACAAGCTATACTATACTAATATATAAAACTGATGAGTTTGTTTGCATCTTTGACGCTTATTAGAAAATACTACTTCGAATATTGTTTTTGTGTTGGTTTGAGTATTTATCAGGAAGGTCGTAGCTATAAAACATCGTGTGACTAATTGGCGCGAAGACAATCGGGACAAGTGGAAAGCGGGGGAAATTATTATTTCTATTGTTTCCATGCTACGCTGCGAAACCGGTTCAAATTACCCAAAAAATATGTACAAAAAATGATTTCTTTTTAAATTATCTAAGTAATGTCCGCGACACTATATACACACTATAATCTATTAATTTGCATGAACAGGGGACGCATTAGGTAATAGCTCAAATTTAGAAAAGGATTTTTGCAACACCAAATTTGGCGGTCTCAAATTACTATTCTACGCAGACGAGGTCGCTGACACAGCTAGTTTTTTAATATCTGTTCGTATCGTTATATATAATTTAAAGAAAAGTACATATCCGCGCAAGAAAAGAAAGTGTCCATTAAGAGTACATTTCCGTTTTAAACGAATTCGCAGGGGACTACGGAGAGAAAATTATTTCGAAGGAAAATATTGTGCTTAATGGAAAGATAATTATGGTTTCCGCTCTCGAATGTTAAAACGAGGTACGGATAATGAAAATATACAATCTCGGAAAAATACGTCTGATTTGCGTCAAATTCGTATTTAATTATAGCTATTAAAAAATCCTTGGTTTGTTACAATTAAGGGCTTTTTTGACGAGACTAATCGTACCAATATATTGGTAAGAACTGAGAATCAACGGGTCGTGGATTCGATCCCCCGTGGGCCAACATGTTTGTTATCAATTTATAATGTTTTTAAAACATGTGGGACTTCGTCGTTCCTTTTTTGTGTGTGTCATTTCTGAATGTCGGAAGCGAAAATTAGTTTAACGCAACTTGTTTAGGTGTTATATGGCTTGAGTATTTTACCTTCCATGAAGTGAATCCCATGCGTCTCTGTCCTTCTCTATCATTAAAAAAACGATTTCCCATACATGAGGCAAGAGCAACACAATGCAAGCAAGCTAGGCCAAAGATCAGCTTATTCAGAAGACTTTGACCAAGCCATGCAATAAGTAGTTTAGTAGCTAAAGCAATCTTGTTTGTCCCCGGATTTAAGACCAGAAACTTTCGTGCTTTATACAAGGTAAGCTGCACTTAAAAGCACTTAAAACTCAGTCAGGAAAGAGATAGGACAATATATCACTCGTTAACCGTGTAAAAATGAAAAATACAAAAAAATCAGTAACCTATATCATCGCCAAATTGTAACTCATTTTGTACTTTCTTATTTGCACTCTTCACGTCTTTAGTCTATCTATTAGTTTAACATGTTGAATGTAGAATTTTTTGCTGGTAATGAGTTCGAAGTAGCTAAAAATTTGTACTAATATATAAAGCTGAAAAGTTTGTTTGTTTTTTTGAACGCGCTAATCGAAGGAACTACGAGTTCGAATTGAAAAATTATTTTTGTGTTGGTTTAGAGCATTTATCGAGAAAGTCTATAGGCATAAAACATTGCCCTGACACTAATATAGGCGACGATTCAGCGAGAAATGTGAAAAAAATAGGAAATTTATTCATCATTATGGTTTTCCGAGGCGTATGCTGCAAAAACGATTCAAGATAATTAAAAAAATATGTCTCGGGGTCTAAATGTAAAACCATGTCATCATAGAATTCATTGATGCACCTCTCGCGCAATGTAATTGTAGGAAAATTCAAAGTTAGGTAGGCCATAATGTTAACTAAGTGGCCGTTTCTCCCACATTTAAGTACGCGTATATATCCCGTTATCACTTGGAATTTATTACGGCGTCTCATTCAAGCGTCATTACCCACTGAAAAACTCCATGTAAAGTAACCGGGCTTAGAATGCTCAAGACTTGGATTGAATCTGGGCGCCGTGCCAACATTTGAGAGCGTGAACTTAGTGTGCTGAAAATAGAAAAAAAATTACAAAAGCCGTGAAGCTTATTTACTTCGTTAGGGCTATGCGCGCGCCAAAATTGGTTGCCTGGGTTAAGCCGCAACACGTTTGTTCAGAGCTTTTTAAGAAAACAGATGACGGTAACAAAAATATTAAAATAGATACATTCCAAACACACTGCCATTTGCATGGAGCGTTAGTTAAAACAAGCGCGAATACGTATTCACACAATATAACAATATGATTTGAATAAAACACTTACGATTTAATACGCGATATATTTTAGTTAAACTTGTTTGAAAATTATTTTTAACTACGGCCCGACGTTTCGTATTCTTTGCAGCAACTATAAATATGACTTTTATTTATTTATCTTTCTAATGAAAAATTAGTAATTAATGCGGGATTAGACCAATGACCAATAGCGTAGCTTATACCATTGATGTATACAATCTAAAATAATTCATTTCATATTGCTCTCATATGTAATTAATATACTGAAACTTATAATGCATTTAAAATACATATTTGTCGATAACATGAAAGGAAATTTGACTTCAATCAATTCAAGTTCGTATACATTACTACCGACGAAAAGCAAATAACAATCAATTTTATACAAGGTTGCGTTGTGTTTACCTTCACACTATAATGTTTATTGTTCTGAAATCCATTGTGAAAATGTATGATAACCCTTAACATTATAAGTGTATTGTGTACTTCTACTCAAATCCCAGGCTGGTTATTCTGGGCAAAGGATTTACCGGCCTATTCAATTCAGCTTATTAAAGAGTATATTGTATGTAAATACATACATATTGCCTATTTATAGTGTTACAAATGACTTAAAATATGATATAGCTTATATTACTATAATAGCAGAGGCTGCTAGTGTTAGAGTGGCCTAATAACAAAAATCATGTTCAATAAAGAGGAATATAAAAATGCGCAATAAACTTAGGCGAAAATGAATTTGTACTAGTATTTGTAGGGGAATGTTAACAATTTTTGGTCTCTGTGCTTCAGTAGATTAACACTTTTAGACTACGAAAGAAATAATTGCAGTTAGGCAACTCTGCCTCTAGCGGCCTCATATTATAGTAATACAGCTGCTATTATAGTTCTAAAACAATTAACTTAAGCAAAATCTTATCATAAATGGCGTTGTATGATTAAATTTAAATATTTGTCTTTAGTGAACCTGGAGTGAAACCTGGTGAAGTAAGTAAGTAACTTACTTACAACATTACAAATGTAAAATTGAAATGCAAGTGGACGACGGCCATGTTCGCCCCACTTACTGAACAATAGTATAGCTGAAGCTTAAATAACATTTAATTCCCCTGGATACACAAACTACTTTAGCATAAAGGCTTAATTATGCTAATGAAAAACCGTGTAGCAGTGGATTTTAGGCTTTGTATCCACGCGCAACATCTGAATATTTTCGAAATATAGCTCACATGGACAGATATAATTTCTTTACTTTGACATTTACATAAGGATGGGATGTAAGCAATATCGACGATATTAGAAGGTAGAAGTTCCATTGATGTACGTTCGCTGAAAAGCGTTACAAACGTTTAATTAAATAATAACAGAAATAAAAAAAAGATATTTGCAATATTGAGGTCATTTAGTCCATCTATAATCGACATTTCTTTATCCCTGTGTCATCTGTGGTGACAGCTTCACTCTATAAAAGGTCTCCTCTAGTTCTCTGTGGTTTGAAATCGGCCATTTTTGTTGTGGTCTTTTGGTTTGTAAGAAAATACACTTTTATACTGTATTTTTACTTACTTGCTTGCTTACTAGATGCGCTGTCTATTTTGGTTTGGGCATTTGGAAATCCACAGACTGAAACAGGAACGCGTTTATTCTTCACTTCTTTTTCATGTAAAATCACACAGTCGTTTCAAGCATTTTATTTAAAAACAAAGCTGTCATAATACTCTACAAAATCAAATAAATCTTTACTACTTTAAGTTTTGGCAATTTCTTGTATCATTTCAGCTTTCTACGTAAATTGAAGTTCGTTTCAGTATTCTAAGTCAACATCTAAAGTCAACAGAACTACACAATCATACCATCCTTGATCAAATGTAACTGTGTTTAAGTTGAATTTGTTTTGTAACGAAAGGTGTTATTGTGTATTGCTTTTTTTAAGTATATAAAAAAGTGTATTCTAGTAGTGAAGTTTCTACTGTTTTTAAAAAGGAGTGAAAGATATCTGTTGAAACGGAAATATATAACTAATTAATATAATTATCACTTTAAAAATTGTATAGCTCAGGATATATAAGACTGTAGATTTATTTTTTACGCTACGTGTTTTTAAAACTATTAAGGTGCTTCTAATACTTTTCCTAATGATTACAAGATTGTCATTGTGTGCTCTCCCTTATATTTTCTAAGCAGACGCCACTTAGCTCGGAGTATGTATTATTAATTAGTCAATTAGAGACCTCTCTGAAGCATATTCACCTAGTTTGCATTAACCACATAAATTACTACGCATTTGTAATGTTATCTCTGTGTAATAAATCTAACTAAGGTTTTGTATAGGTAAATGTCGGAAATATACTTACCATGTTTAATAGGCCCAAGATCGCAAATCCTTGATTCTCAAGTAAGTATTTTATTAATTGAAATATTATGAACACTTAACATTAAATGGATGTATATTTCCCTATTTGAGTCTTCTAAAATATTTCTAATTTGAAAATTCTTCTACCTCGCAGTTAATATAACTCATTTATATAACAGTATCTCAGCTTCCATTGAAATCAATATAATATAGTGAAGTGGGAGTACTTGTGACACTGAAGACAGGCGAATTATTATTTATTTCGCTATGTTTATATATTTGAAGCTAAAATTTGTTAACGTCCATGCAAATTTGATACTGATTGATTTGTATTCTTAAAAGTAATTAATCGTTTAAGTTATTAAAACACAAAATCCCTCGAATAGAAATGTTTATTTTAACATTATCTAATTATTTTTTAAGTACAATAAAAATTAACAAAACTTAAATAATTAAAGATACTAACTACACATATATAACATCTATTTAAGAAATGATAGGGCAAGTCATTTAAAAATTAAAAATATTTTTTTGTGTACATACTGAAGTCGTAATCTGCATGAACAGAAACCAGATACGAACAACTACTGAGAGATTATTGAAGTTTATAAGTGTACGTATATAAACGAATTACTTTTGATATCATTTGAACAGTGCTACTATGACATTATGGATACCTATTAGTTCGTTCTGTGTTAGGAGTTTTCAGCTACTAATATACAAGTACAAAGTTGCTGTAGATTATCGTCCAATTAGTAAGAATAAGTACAGGTGACTACGCTCTTTCAACGCGTCTACAAAATACCTACTCTGTCCTTTAAATAAAGAAAGCATAAATAAAGGAAAATTCTTAGCGAAAAAGCAGCTTAGCTTCGTATCGACCTGTTTTGATATTATGCTTTCAAAATATTAGCCGCGTTTTCACTTAACAAGACCATGACAAAAGTTGGTGGAATTCATTTAATATTTAACTCTGGATGAAAGTTATTTTGTACTTTATAAACTTGCTCTACAAAAATGACTACCGAGTTTCAAAGAAAAGCTTAATTCTTTTGCTTTCTTTGTTGAATGAAAATGAACGCGACTAGAAGGAAATATCTTAATTGCACTATTTTTATTGGATGCCTAACTTTACTAAATACTTAATTCTAACATTGAAATGTTGAGATTAAATACCCTCTTAACCATATAACTCTATTTTAATGACAAACACATTAATCTTAAAATTAAAACTTATATTATATCAAATTTAAAGCAGTCCTTACATAGTTCTTAAAATTTTTAAAGTATGACAAATATTCAGTTCAACAGTTACAAATGGAGAATTAAAGTAATGTTACACTTATTGTTAAGTAAACAAACAGTGTTATTTACAAAGTCTCATGTACGCATAAAGTATACTTTTAATTGTATGATTAACGAAAACAATTCTAAAACCGTAGAAACGCTTAGCCTAAATAACACTTTAAGTATTACTTATAATGACAAACAAGACTACGTTTTTTTCGTTTCAAAATTTTACACCTAATATCACAAATATTTGGTTCTTAAATTTATAACTCTTTAGATTAGAAGCATAATTACGACTAAAATACAGCTTGGTAGGTTTCTTACAATACCTGAAAATGCCTTTAATCTTATTTCGTTTTGTATCGGATGCCCGTACGAATCTTGTATGGACTTCATCAATTCTTTTGGGCATGAAAGTTCTTCCACCGGTATATCTAAAAGTTTGATAGGCATGTCTTGCGTTTCATCTGTAATATTTATTTCATCGTCCATCTCAAACTCGGTTCTCTCCATCTTTTTGTCATAATATTCGTAGCTAGTGTGCGAAACTAAATTAGGATTTTCACCTTGTTCTCCAATTTGGTCGTTTAAATTTCTATCGATATCGTTGTTTTCTGTGAGGCATGTTACTTTTTCTAGAGCATTTTTAAGTGTGCTGTCTTTCGTTTCGTTGCGAAGGGCGTATATCCAGGCCAGACGACAGTCGCAGCTCAGTGGATTACCTGCAACAAATAACTTAATTAGACCAAATTAGTATAAAACTATGTGGGGACGGACCAACAGTTGTTCCAGAAAATGTCAATTCTCGAAAAAGTACGTGTCTGAACTAGACTATCAATTACTTTCTACCGAAAAGTCTTAGCTACTTTTGCCACATTACCCGCAGAGAACCTCTACAAACTAGTTGTTGTTGGAAAGGTGGAGGGCAAAAGCGGTCGATCACCCACTCGATGGAGTGACCCATTGGCAAAGACACAGGTCTCAGTATAGCAACCGCTCTTCGACTAGCCGAAGATAGAAAAGCATGGCAGCAGCTGGTCGACAAGGCAGTACTATGCGACTACAAGCACGACCTTCAGTTTTTTAAACTCAAGACCTCAAGCCTTTTAAACCGTTAAGCGTTTTATTTAGCGACTTAGCGACTATTGAATGTAAAATTCTACATAATATATCGACGTAAACCTGTCACTTTTAAATAAAACACTTTAACGGTTTAAAACGCGATATATATAACATAAACTTATTTGAAAATTATTTTAACTACGGCCCAACGTTTCGGATGGTTTGCAGCACCCGTGGTCACGGGGGGACTAAAGATGGGGGGTGTCTCTGACGTCAAATTAAAAAACTGCTACGCTAGCGCCATCTGTTCCGTCGAGGTCAATACTCGGTGAAACTGGCCGGGTCCACGCCGCCGATACCACGACTGTTACAAAGCATCCAAAACGGCCGTTGTTAAAATTATTTGAAATAAGTCATGTATCGCCTTTTAAACCGGTTAAGTGTTTTATTAAAATGTGTACTCGCGTAAACTACAGACAGTATTTAATATAGTGTTATTTTTATACTATCCACAATTTGTTTGAGAAAAAAAAATCCGAAATACTAAAATGGTCGGTCAGGCGTGTAATTATTTTAGGCTTACGCGCTCGCAATTTAAGCTAGCCATTACCTAAGCCTGGGCCACTGACGTATGATATGGCTTAACGACGACATACTCGGAGCCAACTGCGTCAAACGTGTTTGTCTTCATATAAAAGATAAAATGATACTCTCGAATAGCTGTAACATTTGTTATCGTTGTCGTCACCATTCTAAAATACTTGAAGACCAAAAATTGCTTACATTTTTCTTGTGTGTTGGATATCAAAGTAACGAAGCAATATGAGATTAACGATGAACTCTTTTTATTTATAACTAGCTCTGCCCGCGACTTCGTCCGCATGGAACAGTTATTTTGGGCATCATATTATTTATTTTACAAACAACCTTCCAATCTCACTTATAAATTACTTGCTGTACCAGCTACTTCGTCCTCATGTAAATGTTATTTTAGACATCATTAAATTTATTTTTGTAAACAACCTCAGCTTTACAAATTATAGCTATTACCCACGACTTCGTACGTGTCCCGGACATTTTTTTGCAAAAAACAATCAGTCTCTCATACGCTTATTATTATAGTTTTTTGGCTTGAAACGTTTTCGCGGCGCAAGCCCTTAAAGATGAATAATAATCCCCGTTATGTCCTCATTTTCCTCTGTTTCTACGCTCCTATTGGTCGCAGCTTGATGTTTTATAGCTTAAAGCGTTCCTGTATAAATGGTCTAACACAAAAATATTTTTTATAACTCGAACCAGTAGTTCCTGAGATTATCCCGTTCAAACAAACAAACAATTCAGCTTATATCTATATATAGATGTCTTTGGCTCTCAAAACCGGCTTCAATTGCAAAAGCTTTAAATATTCTACTCCTGTTCAAGCCTTTTGCGATACAATTCTAAACATGCAAAATATTGCTGCATAAGGACATGAACACTTGAATTTATTGTATGAGTTTCCGAACCCAAGAAAGCTTAACAGACATAGTGCAATGTGCTAAAATAAATCTTATCTGATACTTCTACTTTGAAGGATTTATTCAGTTTACAACGTATACAAGTTTTGCATTGGGGTAAAGATGTCGATAGAATTATTCTTGCCAAGTGTCGAGGTCTGTTGTCTATGTTGTCTATCTAAGAAATTCAGTTGAACTAAGCGTCTAGCTTTGTTTGCGTTATTAGATACTACTATAACATTTTTTTTGTATCTGTTCAACTCTATAATTTACGCTGTTATCCACGACGTCGTCCGCACCCCTTCGTCCTTGCAAGTTATTCTTAAAACATAGACATATACTGTTCCGGACATTTTTTAGATCATTTAAAGAGAAATCATTCTTTCAAATATACTGTTTTGAGTTTCTCGAACTAAATCTAAACTGTTAGTTCTCTAATGAAGGATAATGTTTGCGAATGCTTCCCGAATGCGCCCGTCTGCATACCGTCGGAAGCGCTAATTCAGTCATGAAAACATTCCCGAATACTGTTCGAATTTCAAATTTTTCATGAAACAACGCCGACAGTGAATTGAAGCTAACAAACATTGCTTGGATGGTAATAATTCCATCGTTTACTGTATGCAATATTTCAACGTCAGTTCAATTCTACGGTGGGATAGATTCCGAATCGAATATGTACGTGAGATCTCTCTTCCATTTTTCTAAAGCGACTGTCGATTCTGGCCGTGAAATTGTTACATCAATCTTGATCATGAAAGCGGTTTTCGTAGGCCTAGACAAATTTTATAGTGGTTAAATGCATAGCGTAAAGCGTAAAGATGCTGCAAAGATGAAGAAATCTGAAATAGGCAAAAGACAAAAAAAAAAAAACTTTATTTGCCATCATAAAATTTTTTCAAATTATTTAAACAGTCGTAAAAGCACAAAAAAGATATTACACTGTCTCTAAATATCTGGTAAGTATAAATTTCAACGTAAAGTTGCGCAAACTACGTGGTTGGAAAATAATGTTTCACGTGATAAATAAAAATGTTTTCCCGTTCCAGCTGTACGCAAGAGTTACGAACGCCACATTAAAATAAACAATATTATCTTATGTATCAAAATAAAGAAGATGAATTATACTATTCAAACTTAAATATTGTATTGCACGCGATGGCATTATATAAATTAAAAATCGATTTTTAATTAACCTAACATAAAAAATGTTTGGCGGCCATCTTGAATTGATACTTAAGGTGTTCGAGGTGTTGAGGCGTCGTAGTTTAAAATGTTTCATAAGTTTTTGACGATTTTTTTGGTTTCTACGTCATAATCTCCACCGAATGGATGACGACAGAAGGAAATCTTATGCATTTCTTAACTCGTAATGGCGAGGCGTCTAGTACCGTTACTCAATTACTACGGTCGCTCGTTATCTTAAGTAGCTTTATTTTCTTTAACTCTACTGTTTAAGACTATATTAATTCAATGCCACAAATCCTGAAACAAAATCTGACTCGTGAATAATATAAAACAAAAGTCTATACGAGCTTACAGAATGGCGCTATAAAGTACCTAATAAACAAGCGGGAATGTTTGCAAATGAAATGGCATTCCTCAATAGGACCGGGCGAAATTTATCGCGGCCCTTGCAAAATATAGGTACGATTCACGAGGGGGGGAAGGAGGACGTTTGATTTACGCATTTGATCTATAACGCGGGAAATAAAGGGATTATGCGCGCGTCAAGACGTACTTGAGATATCCTGTATAAACTTTATCACTGTTATACACCAAATACAGGATGCTTGAATATTTGCCGCGCTCGTTGGTACAATGGTAACAATTTATGAATATTAATGTGTCGTCAAATCGATTCCTACCGGGTCCATGTCTCTAATTTATGGTTTTTCTGAAAAATGTTGAACGTAGTCTAGAAATCTAGATATTAAATGGGAGGTAGGAACGAAATTCCCTCCAGTTTACAGACATCGTCAACAGATTAAAAAGCCGTGAAATGTAATCGCGATTTGGTTTTAGTCTGTGGATTTCTGAATATCCAAAGACAATATAGGTCTGTGGTGTATCTAGTGTAGACTTATATGGCTGGGGTTTTTCACCTTCCATCATGTGAACTCCATGTTTGTCCGCCCTCCACTGTCATAAAAATTATCTGATTAAAATAAAGAGTGCCGATACCCAGTTATCGACAGATGCGTCCCTTTCGTGTTTGTTTTTATTTTTATCGCCGCCTGTTTCCACTTTATTGCATGTTTTATTTCGCCTTTAAGAAAATTATCTTATTCAGCTGGTTATGGACGTTATCTTCTTGAATACGTTTTATCTTTGACAACTTTATTATTTTGAACGTGTTACTGCACATGATGGCGTTATATAAACTAATCTAATTGTTAGTTAACATATTATTAAGTTAGCGTTAAGATTTTAGATAGAAGGTAGAACGATAGGACGACCAGCGGCCCGGTGGATTGATGACCTGAAGAAAGTAGCCGGCAGCAAATGGATAAATAGAGCTCAAGAGAGGGCCGAGTTGCATGCTTTGGGAGACATCCAACAGTGTACCCAAAGGGGCTGATAATGATGATGATGATAGTTAGTAGACTAATCACCGTGAAGACAGGCTTACCCTAGTGACAACTTATCTTTATCATGTTACGTATATGTACGTATTGGAACATAATCAATAATTTTAAATTTCGAAATTTATAATGTAATGTGACACAATAGCCAATTGGTCTAATACCAACAGCAAAGATCGGTATTTATTTCGGTTGACGGCCCACCCGTTGTTATGTCATCCATTCGTCTAAATCTTAATAAATTTTTAATTTCTATAACGTTTCATCATATTATTTATTTACATTCCATAAGTCGAAATATAATAATAACCTATTCTAACGATAAGCTAACCAAGAATTACAATTATAGTACGGACAACATCTAGTTCAGATGGCTCAGGTTCAAGTTTTACGTAAAAACTTATAAGGATACATGTATATGGATATTAAAACGAGTGTTCAGCCTATATATGATTACTACCAACGTGTGTGGACAGTTGTACCTAAAAGGGTTCAAGGTCGACATGGGATTTAGTAAATATATGAAAGGGTTATTTTTGTCTTAAGTTACTAGGGATACTAATCACTTTTTTTGATTTAATATATTTCAAATTTGTTTATATATTAAAAGCCGTAAACCGTATTTTCATATGGTTTTTTTTCTAACTCAACTTCACTACATAAAACTTTTTTACTGAAACTATTCCATCATTGATATTATTTTTTGTAGGTTTTGAGTACGAGGACAAATTTATTACATTTTCCTTACTTCCATTTCATTAGTAAAGGTAAAAATCGTGGACTAGGAGAAATCGGTCGTAGTGATAAAGTCACCAGCTGTACTTACCATTATTACATTTCCTTTGTCTATTTGTAAAGTGCGTAAGAGGTATTAAATAAATAAGAAAATATTGGAACAATGGCTTACCGTCGAGATAGACAACTGAAGAAAGCGCCTTGTCGTTTTCCACTACGGGCCTGATGGTTTCGTAGGATATTGTCGTCAAAAGATTATCTCGTAAATCCAACACAATAAGACTTCTTATATCTGCGAGTACGTCTTCGTAAAACGATGTTAACTTGTTTCCGGAGAGTGTCAACTTTCTTAACTGGATCAGTCCTCCGAAAGCTCGCTCCGATATGTACTCTATTGCATTATTGTCCAACATCAATTCTTTTAATCCCCATAACTCGCTAAAAGCCAAGTTGCCAACCATAGTTAACTTATTGTTCTTTAGATTCAATTTAGAGAGATTCTCTAATCCCTCTAACATCTCCTTTGTGATAACCGAAATATAATTTGTATCGAGCCTTAGCTCAATTAAATTATTTAAGTGTTTGAAGCAACCTTCGTGCAGCAGACTCAAATTATTGTTAGATAGATGTAAGATGTGCAAGTTGGGAAGATTGAAAAAAACGTCCCTCTTCAGCTCACAGATGTGGTTATCGTCCAAACTGAGATTTGATAACATCATCAGTTGTGAAAAAGAGTGCTTTTCTAGCGTTGAAATTTTGTTGGATTTTAAAATTATCTGTCTTATAGTAGATGAATTGGTGAACGCGTAAGGCGGTATTCTTTTTATTGTCGCAAGCTGAATTGATATGTATTTTAATTTATCTAATCTGACGATAGCTTTGGCTGGTATAAAAGTTAGAGCGTCTTCAATGCGCACGTTGAATGTCAGGCGTTCGATTTCTGGTTGCGAAATGAAACTAGGCCAAATGGGATCGTCTTTTGTGATTCCGCTGCTGAAAATCCAGCAATCGACTTTTGTGGCTAATTTTGGCTTATTACTATCACAGTAACAATGCAACTTAGATCGCCGGTCACTGATGTCACAGACGTTAATGAAAGTTGGCATTTGGTAATAACTTCTATCTATTTTGGGTCTAGTAGTAGTATCGTTTTTGCTCTCTGTAACTATCGGCTTCACCGACATTAAGGAAGCGATGATAATTGTGTATATTGCAATCTGCATATTCAAGTCTAATCTGAAACAATAAAATGATGATTTTAATTTCTTACACTGTAATTAGCAAAACGTTATAATCAATTGTAAAATGTCCATTCTGGCTTGAAAAGTTCTTTAAGACTTCAATAAAATTAGTTTATTATAGTATTAGCGTTATGCTGGAACACACGTTCACGTCTCTACATGTTTATCTCTGTGAATAACTAACAAAATGACTCTTCCTTTTGTTTCGACTACTTAAAAGTTACATAACTGTAACTCCTATTTTGTATTTAAGTCATTTCTTTGGATAGCTTCATACATATTAAGTGCCTTACCCTTGCGTGTTACACGGTATTTACAAAGTCATGCATTAAGAACAGGTGCGAAATATAATATTTAGCCATTTGTAGGGAACATATATTATATGAAGCTATTAATATTTATTAACACGCAATGTACAACAGTAAATTTGCAATGTGTATATACATAGGTGTTAAGGTGGATGTTACACACCACAAGGTGGGTGCTCATCCCATTAATAATATCGATCGATTTTTCAAATCTAAAAAAGCTGTTTCGTGCATTAACATATGAGAATAATGGTTCAAACAAGAATTTTTATCATATTTTCTTTCGATTTTGTGATCGATTCGGGATATTTCATGAAAAAAACAATTCACTGTCAGCTCAACGGATTTTCTAGGGGTTGGTAAAAGTTAGCAAGCGGATTAAAAGTTCACCGAGGATTTGCATTGTTAAAACTACTTTTTAATCGGGGAAAATGTTCACGAGTATTTACGATATGAACTACACATGTCTACGAACCCAGTAGCGTGGAAACTTCTACTACCTACACAGGTATCCACCGATCCATTTCGATTCGATTAATTTGTGTTTTAATTCAAGTCCTAGATATGACACGAATAGAGCTAATAAGAATATTTCTGAGTAAGTGCACAATAAAAGTGTTCCTCTAAGATTTATTTTCATAGTAACTGTAGTGCTTTTTAATAGCAAAGATATTTGTTGCGATGCCTTTCAAACAATGTTCGCGATTTAATATTTTTTATTTTCTTATGCTATTTTTCCCGTTGAAAAGCATTTCCCGTGTTATTCTTAACTTTATCATAATGTCTTTGTGAATAAATAAATAAATATTATATTTCTTGTAACTTTACTAGCTGGTCTCGTAAACGTTGTTTTGTTTGCAAGATGTTCTTATTATGTTGATACAACAACATTTTCAAAAAATGTGATTAGCATTAAAACAGATCTTGTGGATACTTACGTTGTGAGTAGTACACATTTAAATAAAACACTTTAGCGGTTTAGTTAAACTTGTTTGAGAATTATTATTAACTACGGCCGCGTAGACAATCGCGTTTTAAACGGTTAAAGTGACCTTAAAACCTTAATACCTTTATACTAAATTGTGCAAGGCTTTCACGGCCATCGATAAGCATATCACTGTTTTCGAGCTATTCGGCCGACGTAAGCGAGAAGAGGTTCTCGACGTTTCGCCATCACGTGCAAATATCATCAGGAGATGTTAGCTCCTTGATTGCTCGAAGAATTAATAATTCTCATATACTGTTGGATCCATTTTTAGATCATTAAATATATTTTCGAATAGATATATTTTTGTTTCTTGAACTATTGATAAAAAAGTTAATGCATATAAAAAACGTAATTAAAGCAAAATCAAAATATATCCTATATTGATATGATAAAGCTGAAGAGTTCGTTTCTCTGTTTATTTCTTTGAACGCGCTAATCTAAGGAATAACTGGTTCAATGTAAAACATTCTTTTGGTGTTGATTAGAGCATTTACCCGACCCGACCGCTTTAGGCTATAAATCTCCATGTGACCAATAGGAGTAAAGAAACAGTGGGAAATGTGGAAAAAACGAGAAAACGAACTTATGAAACGCTGTTTTGGTAATCAAATTTCGTCGAAATACTTACAAAAAATACAAAAGAACTTTTGCCAGTGCAGCTTATATATACAAAGTTATTCCTACTTCATGCGAAACCTGAAAGTAGTTTGTTCAGAATCAGAATCCATTCCAATAGTTTTTATACCACGTTATATTTTTTTTCAAAATTATATGAAATTTTTGAAATCCTGGACACCGTTCGATACAGCGCGCGCGGGACGCCCGCTCTCAGAGTCTCTAGTCTGGTAGAGTCAGTGCGTGCGCAACCCTTTCGCGGTGATTACGTAATAACTTTCTTCCGAATTGCAAGCAAGCGATTGCGCATCCCACGGGCGTCTCGTTGTTTTGCGGTGTTTTTTTAAGTGTGTTAATTACAAACATGTCTTCCAATTATACCCATGTACAATATGTGGAACTGGTGCGAACACTTGCTTTGTGTGGTGATAATGATAATGTTGCCGAAGCAGTAAGACTTATCATGAACAATTTGGCACTTAGTATCATGGAACACAATGTTGAGCGTTACGAAACGCTTACGAGACCATAACCAGTTCAGACCAGTCGCAGTAGACAGAGGCGAGGAGATTATTCAACGTAAGTAAGTCTTACGTGTGGTGGACTTTAAGGAATGACCACCTTACTGAATACCTTTATCATTTAAGACGAGCATCGAAAATGATAAAGCCCAAAGATTCGATGAATTAGTGTAAATAATGGTGATAAACATTTTGTCTTTGTCTAACAGTCCAAAACCTGTAAGTGTGATGGGAAATGTTATTGCAATACGTTCTGTAAGCGGGCAATAGGTAAGTAAGTACATAAAAGTAGTGAATCGTATAGTGTAAGGTGCAAGACGCGGAGCGAAGGAGAGGGATGGGTTGGAGATAGCGCGTGCGTCGACGCCAGCTCAGTGACCATGTGGTTGCGGGATAAACAATAACATTAAAAAATTCATAACTTTGTGAGTTTTCATTATTTTTTTAATTTAGATTTTTATCCTGATTCTGCGAATAAAAAGACTTGACGTGTTTAGTTTAGTATCAACTTAAAATAAACTTGTATAGCACTATGCACAAGTAACAGCAAGACTAACGCCATATAGATAATCCGTACACCGCACATTCTATAGTTCGATAGGCTTTAAACCAGAATGAAAAGGTATCAAAGCGTACTTCAGTGATTAGGTAACGGCTGATTAAAACTTTGAAGAGCTTCACGAGTACCGCCGAACTATTCTAAACTTTCGGTCAATAATACGTAGTAGTAGCGTTTCCTGTAAAGCAGCTTAAAGCTTAAAATCTATTAACGCTTTTAACGGATTAAAAAAAGAAATAAATTAGTTTTATTTTTTGTCCCACATTTAATTTTTTTGGCCACAATATACGTTCAAACCGTTAAAAGTTATTAAAATGTGTACTACACGTGAAGTAGTTTTAGTTTGGATATAGCCCTAATGAAAAATTTACAAATCTAATCTATCAATAATTATATAAAATTTATAATTTCAATTATAATGAATTTAGTATAATATTCTATGATCACTTCTGCAAAGTCTTTTTTAATAGAAGCAATTGTAACTGGTTATTTTAGATCGTAATCATAATTAATGATTTTAATTAAAACTCAGAAAGTGGTTAGATAAGGCGTACGAGACTATTAGGTTAAGAATTAATGTACGATTGATGCTACACAGGAAGTTAAAGTATATAAATATTTGATATGTAATAAAATGCAAATATACTATAAAAAATCAAACTGAGAGAGAATTTTTTTTTAGAAATGATAGATTATCATTTATTTTTATACATATTATTGATATTCCTACCAGCCACTTAATATCGAGATTTCTAAACGAAGATCAACATATTTTAGAAAAAATATAAATTGATTTGAAAATATGTTGGACCAACGACCGACGATCGAATCAAAGGGTCGTTGATTATTATAATTGCTACCATTAGAACGACGAGTCGTCTATATAATTTTTGCCCTTAAATTCAGAATAAGAATAACGTTATCAACTTTTATAAATTTCAAACAGTCATTGTTTTAAGTTTTTTTAGGTATAGCTGTTTCGAGCTGTATGCCCATCGTATTGAGAATTGGTCCTGACGTTTTGCCATTAAAATCCTAGTTCCTTAACTAAGCGTAAGTTATTCTTTGGGATAGAAATGGGATACGTTAGTTTTTATTGTCACAGAAAAGTGAAACGCTACTCAAATCATTAGTACATAGACATGTTGAAAACTTAAGATGTAAAATTAACATCATGGACATTATCGTACTATTAAACCAAAGTGAAGTTTACCTAGGAACGTAAGAAATATGTTTGACTTTAGTTAGAGACGTAGCTGGATATTTACTTTACTAGGTAAGGTGGTGTATTTTAGAGTCTAGAATTAGAATACATAGGAATATATTTTTAAAAGTTTTAGTAGGGACCTATATCTATTTATACCTGGTCTTTGTAAAATATGTATATATAATGCAACCATACATACAACCTCGCTTGTGTTAGCTCGGCCTCTGAAGGGAACACAGAATATCAGTGTTGGGACTTTAGTCTCAACGAAGCTGAGTGGCTTCCTCTTCAGAGGCAACTATTTTTGTGTATTTATTTAAAATTTAATAAAATTTGTATGTTTGTACAATACGTTTTAATTGCAATATTTTGTCGTTTATGTGTTGTTTCTGAATAAACGTATTTCTATTAAATTCTTTATAACTATAGCAAATAGCAAACCTTTGCTAAATAAATTTACACTCAAAATATGATAAAAAAGTAATCTATACACAAAAACTCTTTTGCTTAACTCTCGTATAAATAATTCCTTTATAACGCTAGACGCCTTGTTAGTTAACAATAACAAATACTACACAAGATAGATTTTGTAAGAAGATAGTTAATTGGTTATTGATTAGATATTGAAACAAAATTCAGCTTAACTACTGCGAAACGAACCAGTTTTAGTGCAAGGATGTTTCGTATATATTTTAAGTGCCAGACTAAAAGATAAATGCCGTGGACGTGCCTAAATTTTTCAATTGAAAGTATACGCAAGAACATAAAATGTTGCCTTACTGAG